GTAGTCGGCCTTATGGGAGCTACGCGACTTTTGGCTGAAAGTAAACGCACCAACACATTATTTTTATTATTAGAACTACGGACATACAGACACGCTCCGTAAGCCACTTGAGATGCGTCACTAAAAATATGTAAGTCTACATTAATAGATTGATTGCAGATAACACTGCGTGGAATTCTTAAATTGTTTAAAAATGATAAGTTTTCTACAATTGAAAGCCATAATTTAATTATTTCCGAAGGCAACTGTTCGTCCCATGTAAGTTTAAGTAACCATAATTTTTTCATTAAAATTTTCATAAAAATTATGCATGGGGTCAGAAGACCCAGTGGATCGAAGATTTGTGAAATAACCGAGAGCAATCCACGTTTTGTAAAATTATTTAAAACGATTTCACTCGTCGAAAAATACAGTTCATCAGACTCAATTCGCCAGCTGAGACCTAACGTTTTACAGGGTTCCGTAGAACCAATATTTAAGTCGAGCGATGAATTGTTATTATTTAGTATTACTCGAGGTTCATTTGATTTCCACTTACGGAGGTTCATACCAGCTGTGGCCAATTCAGAAGACACCTTGTTACGTATGTCCAGCGCATCTTGAATGCTGTCCCCTCCCGTTAATAGGTCATCGACGTAGAAGTCATGGATTATTATTTCGGAGATTTTATCGTCCTTGCAATCCATACCAATCTGCTTAAGACATCTGGTGGCGAGATAGGGTGCGCTGGCTGTGCCATACGTAACGGTGTTTAATTGGTACGCTTTCATGGGCTCTGATGGATCATTTCTCCAAACTATTTGTTGGAGAGGTCTGTCATCAGGATGTACGACGATCTGTCTATACATCTTTTCTACGTCTGCTGATAGCACGTACTTATGTTGTCGGAATCTAAGTAGTATAGATAGCAGATCATCCTGTACAGTGGGCCCCACTAATTGCAAATTATTATATGAAATACCGGAAGTAGTCGGACAGCTCGCATTGAAAACAACTCTGAGCTTAGTCGTTAAGCTGCTTTCGCGAATCACTCCATGGTGTGGTATAAAATATGCCAACCTCCGTGGATCAAATGAACATTCAGACATGTGTCCTAGTGTTAGATACTCTGACATGAATTGAGTATAATTATTTTTAAATTTGGGTTGACCCTTAAACCTACGCTCAAGAGAAAGGAGGCAAAGCTTGGCGCGTTGTAGGGAACCGCCTAAAATATCACGTGATTGTTTCAGTGGTATTCTTACACAGAAACGACCGTCTTGTAGACGAGTTGTATTTTTAATAAAATGTTCTTCGCACATTTTCTCCTCCGCGGAGAGAACTGATGACTCATGGCAAACCTCCTCTAGGTGCCAAAAACGCGTCCATAGGTTTTGAATATCATCGTTATTATTATTGTGCGAAGAGACGTTTTCCTTCAAATTTAGTTTTACTAAAAACGACTTAGTGTTAGAAATCGAATACGGTACTTGGCCATTATTAATTAAGGGGCCTGAGACTAGCCATCCTAACCTAGATTCAAAGAGTACCGGCTTTCCGTTTCCTAAACTAATTTTACGTACCCCTAATAGGTCCCAAAAAACATCCGCACCAATAATTAAATCCACCGACGATGGCGTGTGGAAGCGGGGATCTGCTAAACAGAGGTTACTAGGTTTGTTAATGTCGTTTAAAGGTATTTCCTGACTCGGTACTTCGTCCGTTATATGAGGCAAAACGAAACAGAAAAGATTAGTATTAAAGTTTTCGTTCAAAGACTTTATAGGCACGCAACACATTTTGCCTATGTAAGACTTAGAGTTATTAATTCCTAATAAAGATTCGTTAACATTAACTATCGGTAACTCTAATAATTTACTCAATCTTTCCGTAATTAGGCAAGAAGTACTGCCGCTGTCTAGAATAGCGCGAGCTAAGTATTCCTTATTATTGTGACCGTATATTTTTAAAAGGGAAGTGGCTAAAAGTACCTGATTTTTATTTCGTAGGTAGGTCGATACTTGCGCAGACAAAGTGATATTATTATTCCGATATGCTCATCTTCGCACGATGTACCAGGGAGAGAGAGTGGACCGTCCTCAGGGCGAGAAGATAAATTGGGAGTTTTCTTGAGCTTCATATCTGAAACGTGAATCAAAGTATTGTGCTTTCTTTTACACACTTTACAGCCACTCGACTTACAACGGTTTGCAAAATGACCAAAACGTAAACAATTATAACAAACCTTAAACTGCGGTAATAATTCTAATCGTTGTTCAGAAGCAAGCCCTAGAAATTTTGAACAATTATTTAGACTGTGCTCAGCCTTACAGTTAGGGCATGGCTTGAACTGAGACATCTCGCTTTTCTCATTTAACCGATTTTGGGTCTTAGTGACTGACACCATGCTTTTAATTTTATTTTTATTTTGGTTAATTTGAAGATTGCGAGACAATTCCAAAGTTTCTAATAGATCTGCACGATTTTGTATAAATGATAAAAATGACGCAAATGAAATAATTTTGTTATTATCTAAGTGACCTTTGTACTCTTCCCATTCCCGGTATGTCTTACTATCTAATTTGTGAGTAATAATGTGGATGAGTAAGGTGTCCCAGTGATTTGTGGGCTCACCTAATGACTCAAGTGCACGTAGATTTTTACTCACGGAGTCTATCATGCGCTTTAAAATGAATGACGATTCCTTAGTAATTACCTCAATGTTAAATAATGCCGTTACATGGTTTTGAATTAAAATACTCTATATATAGATAATTATTGAATGCCGTTAATTTGCCCTTTTTTTTAATTAATTCCCTCTCATCGGTCATTTTGAGATACAGGCGAAAATTATAATAATATCTGGAAATTGAACAATTATTGAGAAATTATCACTAAACATAACGAAATAAAAAATAAAAACACTGCACTGGTTTTTTCCTTTTGTTTTCTTCAAAATTTCTTTGTCTCCGTCTTCAAGGTGACCCCGGACGTTCCAAGTTGTATATACTTGTTGTAAATCTCTAATCACGTAGATATTCAGTAGATTATAATTTCTCGATGAAAATCCTCAATAGCCGCTGGAATCGGGCTCGAAGCTGACCATGATTACTTGTTAATTTGAGGAGAAAATAAAACTCTTTGATGCCGATATTATCGCCGTGTACTTCGCAATTGACAAGAATGAATTAAAAAAAAGGGCGGTGGTTACAACTTTAGAAAACACAAAAAGAGAACTAAGTAAAACGTATGTAACGCAACTTCGTGCGTAACAAAAAACAACAGGCGTTTGCGTAGACTGATGATGGACGGTCCCAGTAGAGCCTAGCGCGGTTATTTTCGAGCACGGCTTCTGGTTATTATTATTATTATTGGGGTATCTGTATAGTTTTCTCATCTGGTTGGTTTCTATAAATATATAATTATAAATTAAAATGAAAAGATAAATATACATAAATATCAATAAAATAAAAAAAATAAAAAAAATACACAAATAAATAAAGATCCAACCAGATGGAAGCCCTCGGCAGGGGGAGACCAAACGGCCGAGGGTTAGGGAGAAAGGGAAAGAAACCGACGGACGAAGCGGGCGGTATCGAGGACCACTGCCTTCTGCATTTGAGCCCGGAGCGGTCCGTCACGGAGTCCCAGTCGCCTCAGATGACCCGAGAGGCTGACTGGGATTAGCCCATTCGCAGAGACGACTACAGGAATAATTTCGGTCGGCCAACCACCCCACATGTCGGTCACCTCGTGAGCCAGGTCCAGATATTTTGTTCGCTTATCTGTTTCGGCTTTCACGAGGTTCTCGTCATACGGAATGGCAATGTCGACCAAAAATATCCAGAGCGAGCTCCTGGTGTAGAATTCTGGCTACTAGGTTGTGCCTGTGTAAGTACTCAGAGTTAGAAAGCGCCGAACAACCGGAGATGACATGCCCTCCCCGGGATGGCGACAAGCTCGACAGACGTCGACGGTGCCATCCTTTAGGTTGTATCTCCGATAGTTGTTGGTCTTAATAACCTGATCCTGTATTGCACAGACAAAATCCTCGGTTTCCCCGAAGAGGTCACCGAAACGTAGCCAGTTGAGGGAGGCGACTGTATCTACGAAGAGCTCATGTAGAGCCCTGTAGTACCTCCCGTGGAGCTCCTTCTCCTTCCATACGGTCTCCCGGTCGGAAATGCTAAGCACTGCTGGGTCCTGCCATTGGTCGTTGGCCAAGGATAGAGGGGTAAGCCCTTTATCACTAGAAATGACGTTATTATAGAATGGATCATCCGTCTCGCCAGGAAGTAATGACGGAGGCTGCACACTTCACGATTATGCATAGTGAGCGCGCTCAGAAAGCCACGCCCACCATGCATTCGCGGCAAGTACAGCCTCATTACCGACGATCTCGGATGATGCATCCTATGGGACGTCATGGTACTGCGGAGAACCACATAAGGATAAGAAGATACCCCTTCTTATCCTTATATGGTTCTCCGCAGCCATCATCCGCTCACCCAGATGACAAAGGATCGTACTCCACCGCCCCATACACTGCTCGAGGAAGTCTCTCACTGTACAGTCTGTCTTGTACAGCTCGAGGACTCTCTTTAGCCATGTATGGGGCACCGAGTCGAATGCCTTTCTGTAGTCTATCCAGGCGGCGGGGAAGTTCCGACGGTTGCCTTTCAACACTTTGCCAATGACCACGTCAATGAGGAGTGGTTCCTTGGTTCCACGACCGCCCCCCCGACATCCATTTTGAGCGCGCGACATCACCTGACTTGAGTCCGGGTGACGAGTGATTCTCGCGCTCAAAATGGATGTTAGTGTCTTGTATATGGCCATCCTGACGGTGCGCACAATCCTTGGCCTGGTATTGCCTGACCTGAAGCATATCAGTCTGCCGATGAGGGCCCTAGCCTTTGCGATACGTTCTTCAGTTCTTTTTCTCCAGGCTGGGATAGCACTACTTTGTCCAGTAGTGCGTCCAGCCGTGGAAAGTTTGGCGCCTATAATACGGCAGACTGTCAGTGCTGGCTGGCTTCCAAATAGGTCACCAGCATTGGGTTCAGAGCCCTCACGACAGCCCGATTCCGCTTACTTAGGGCTATGCGGGGAAGTCGCGGTCGATTTTCGAGAGGCGTACTGCGCGTTTCCATAATCGCCTCTTCCAATGTACTCTTCATTTGCTCTATTTCTAGTTCCTGGGTGAATGTTCCATCATCATTTGAATCAGCAACCACTGGGGTATTCTCGGCGGCATCCACGTGTGCGGGTTGTTCTGCAACTTGTGGCACCGCACCCCCAGTCGTAGCGTTTTCATTTGATGAGGGAACAGCCTCACGTCGTAGCCGTTCGAGTTCGGCGCCATCAAATATATTTGAGCGTAAGATATACCGAACTCGGTCTGACAGGTTTTGCTCGGTGACAGTAATAGATGGCTCCAGCTCAGTAAAAAGACGATGCATCCTAGCCTGATACGCGAAACCTCCAATTTCTCCCCCTTTCGTCCTAAAATACGCCCGCAATGCGTTTGTATTCATATTGATGGTCCATCGCATGCGGCGTACTCCACCAGTGGCGGGTGCCGATTGCTGGGTCTGCGAAGACCCTGCCGACACCAAGCAAGCTGGTGGGGATGATGGATGCGAGGGGTTGCTGGGTGGTCGTGCAGCACCTCGCGCTCGGCTGGCGGTTCGCATGCTGTCGCGTCCAGCGCCAGCTCCAGATGCGCCCTGACGACCTCCAGGCAGCGACCCTTTGCGCAATCTTCTGTGTTCTATCATCCATACAGGGCGTCATTTAACGGGAGACGCCCAGACCCGGCGCCGTTTCATGGTGAGGCCATATGCACAAGCGGGCCTTTGCACCATCAATTTTTGCCGAGGCACGGCGATCACACCTCTTGGCAAGGTGCTGACTGGCTGCGCGGACGTAGCGGTTTTGTCACATAACCGTCACGTCAGTGGGCGATGAGGTCGTCACTTCCCTACGCCATCTTATTATTATTATTATGTGTGGGGTATCTATATAGTTTTCTCATCTGGTTGGGATGTATAAATATATAATTATAAACGAAAATGAAAAGATAAATATACATAAATATCAATAAAATAAAATAAATACGAAAATACATAAATAAATAAAAGCCCAACCAGATGGAAGCCCTCGGCTGGGGAGACCAAACGGCCAAGGGTTAGTGTGAATGGGAAAGAAACCGGCGGACGATGCAGGCAGTATCAAGGAGCACCGCCTTCTGCATTTGAGCCCGGAGCGGTCCGTCACGGAGTCCCAGTCGCCTCAGATGACCCGAGAGGCTAACTGGGATTAGCCCATTCGCAGAGACGACTACAGGGATAATTTCGGTCGGCAGACCAACCCACATGTCGGTCACCTCGTGAGCCAGGTCCAGATATTTTGTTCGTTTCTCTGTTTCGGCTTTCACGAGGTTCGGTGATTATTATTATTATTATTATTATTATCTGGGTATCTGTATAGCTTTCTCATCTGGTTGGTTTCTATAAATATATAATTATAAATTAAAGTGAAAAGATAAATATACATAAATATCAATAAAATAAAATAAATACAAAAAATACACAAATAAATAAAGATCCAACCAGATGGAAGCCCTCGGCAGGGGGAGACCAAACGGCCGAGGGTTAGGGAGAAAGGGAGAGAAACCGACGGACGATGCGGACGGTATCGAGGACCACTGCCTTCTGCATTTGAGCCCGGAGCGGTCCGTCACGGAGTCCCAGTCGCCTCAGATGACCCTAGAGGCTGACTGGGATTAACCCATTCGCAGAGACGACTACAGGAATAATTTCGGTCGGCCAACCACGATCTTTAAGCTGCGCACGAAAGACGTGTTCCAGTTGAGCGTCGCCATATCTCGCCTCCAATGCCTTAAGGAGTTGCTCATAAGTCACTTCCTTCCCGAGAGCTTCCAGAACTGTTAAGGCCTGGTCGCGCAGGACTAGTGTGAGAGCAGTCATGGCCTTACTTTTATTCCAGCCATTCGCCTTCATAACAGCCTCGAACTGGATTTTGTAGGCTGACCAGGAAGAAGTCCCGTCGAACGGTGGCACTTTTAACCCACGTAGCGAAGGTGTAGTAGCTACTACGGGAGCTGTAGTTCCATCACCCAGTTTGAGGTCGTCCAGCGTTTTCTTCACGTCAGCCACCACGTAATCAACCCGATTGTTCACTTGGTCGATTTGGGTTTTAGCTTCCTTGATTTGGGTTTCAGCTTTCGACAGGTGGTTGTCATGTTGAGCAACTCCATCCTTCACCTCCCTTATCTCTTTCCCAAAGGTAGCATGAAGGTCCTTCATGAGGAGCATCTGCTCTTCCGACCGACGAGCCTGTTCCGCCTGGCTTCCAACCGACGGGTCTGTTCCTCCTGTCGGCGGGCCTGTTCCTCTTGTCGGCGGGCCTGTTCCTCTTGTCGGCGGGCCTGTTCATCCTGTCCGCCCCGCAGCTGCTCTTCCAACCGACGGACCTGTTCCTCCTGTCGGCGAGTCTGTTCCTCCTGTCGGTGAGCCTGCTCCTGCAGCATCACCATCAGAGCACCTAAGTCAGGTGCTGCAGATGTAGGAGCTACTGACGGGCCTACAGCCGGCGGCTGGCACTCCGAAGTCTGCGGCGTTGCACCACCAAATCTTCTTTGGTCCGTCTCCTGCTGGCGTTGACTTCGGGTACGGACACCCTCCGTTTCCTCCTTAGGTAAAATCGGCATGATTTTATCCCACTTCTGACACCAATTGTTACGAGCTTGATGTTCGTGACAATTAAAAATTGCCGATAGAATTACCTAAATTAACACTTTAATTTTCTTTACACAAATTAAAACTTAAAACACTAATATTTAAGCACACTGATTCACTTTATTCCGCTCCGAACCTTCGCTTGTCTCGCCAAATTCAATACTTCCCCCGATCGCATCTTGCAACACCCTTATATAGGGCTCTTCCACGAAAACATCCAGAATATTCCAGAATATTCGAGTAAATACGTGCACCAACGGACCAAGCGCAGAAAGTTCGAGTGTGGGGCTTCCAGAAAGCTTAGTTCTTCAATTCGATACTGGATGGCGCTGGCGGTTGAAAGATTAGTGATGTCATTTTCTAGAAAGCTCTCTCCTCGCTCTGTTACCCGACACTAGATGGCGCTGGTGCCAGATGTCAACTTAGCCGCGCAACAATAGTTAGAGGATTGTGACTTTCAATTTTTCTATTTTTGCCTGATGATTACGTATTTTGTTTTTGAGGCATTGATTGTTAGTAAGTTTCACTATAGCCAAGTGTGTAATATATGTAAGTCTTGCTGGGCTTCACTTAGTACTGATTCTAACGAGTGACCAAAGTAGAAGAGGCTGGTGTCGTCGGCGTATAAAGTGATATCTCCCTTTAGTCCAATTTCATATATGTTGTTTACATAAATAAGGAACAAAAGGGGTCCCAATATTGATCCCTGTGGAATGCCACAAATAACCGGTTGGGGGCTGCTTTACTGATTATTAATTTTGACTACTTGAAATCTATCAGAAATATAGGGTATTTATTTTTAAATACCTTAGGTCTGCCAGATCTGATTTATTATTTGACAGTCTATTAATTAGTTGCCACATTTTTAAAGGACATTTCTTACAATCTGTGAAAACCTTATGATAAAATTGTTTTTTAGCTGTTTGGATATTTGCAAACGTGAGGTTTCTACGTTTTATAAATTCTGTTCTCAAATTTTCATCTTTAGGTGTTTATTTTAAGCTGTACCATAGTTGGTTCCTTTTATTTATTAAAGCAATTAGGCCCCTGTTTATCCACTCTTTGAAAGGCGGATTGACCACTTTTGTTTTTCTTATTCTATTTTTTTTGCAATAGTTTGTAGTAGTTGTCATTCTAGCTCCTCATATACTTGAAATGACTTATTTTGTGAAATTTCTTCAATAAATTCTTCTGCAGGTTGTTATAGTTAATTGCTTCATATTGAACTTTTTTATGCGATTGATTTTCGGTCTATTTAACTCAAGATATATTTGTTTGTGATCAGCTATGGAGGATTCAATAATAGACATTTGGAAAGTATTATTTTGTAAGTTGGTACATACATGATCTATAATAGTTTTGGATGTTGTGGTTTCACGAGTGCAATACTCGGTGTTGATTTTATTCAATATTCTTATGTTATTCTCTCGCAGCAGTTCTTTATATTCTTTTACGTGTTTGTCGTTAGTAAGTAGGTTAAGATTAAAGTCGCCGAAGATAATAACACGCTTTACTTCTTGCAAGGTGTTGCTTATAGTTTTCAAGAAACTTGTCAGTACTTGCTGCTGGATGTTTGTATATGGCACCTATGTCCAGGGAAAAAGTGTCAAGATGTACCCATAAAAAGTGGTTTCCGTCTTCACATTGATCCTCCAATAATTCGTGTTTCAAATCCTTATGAATGAACAAAGAGACTTTACCACCTCTAGAATGTTTTCTGTAGTTATACTAGTGAACATAGTTTGGTAGTTTTAATCTCTGTGCTTCGTCTTCGTTTTTTATCCAAGTTTCCGTAATAATTAAAACACGAATCTTCGTTTCGAGTGATTCCATAATACAACGTATTTCATCTAGTTTGCCTGGCTTAACTAAACTGCGAATATTGGCGTAGAAAATTTTAGTGCTTTGTTTGTAATAGATAAATCTGCATAATTATAATGATATTTATGAGTTATAAATTTATCCTTATTTTTAGTTATTGTCTTTTCTCTGGTGTCCCTTTTTTGTTTCCTGTTTTATTATTTTGGGTGTTCCTTTTATATACTTTATAATTAAGTCGTTTTCCCCTTTTTCTTTGCGCTGACGTAACTCTTCTCGAAGGTTTGCCATTTCTTGTTTTTGGTTAGGTGTCTGATCGGAAAAGATTTTTATATTACTTACTTTGCAGTTAAATTTATTTTTTAATATATCTTTTGCTATATCTGGAGTTAAAAAACAAACTTTTAGTGGGCGCGTTTTCTTCCCATCATACTTGCGTAGGCGCATTATTCTTTCTGGTTGGGGGTAAGTGGATACTTCACATCTATCGTTTTCCCTCTTTTTTCCATATTTTCTGAATGTGGTTCGAAAATGCCAGCGATTATTATATTCTTGGCACGCTCTAAACGCTCTTAAACTTCGGTCATTATATCTGCATAACTATTCGCTATCGGTTTAGGACGTCCTGATGGTAAGAGGGTATGTACAGTGCTCTGAAGAGCCTGTACATCATTTTCAATACATTTTATTTTTTCTTCATTATAAGTGACAGTATTTGTTAGTTTTTATATTTCAGACTTGAAGTTATTATGTTCTATAAGCAGCAAGTCCATTTTAGTTTTCATATCAATAAGTTGTTCATTGATATATTTGATATCTGTTTTATAGAATTGATGTTTTCTGTGTGAGATTTACCAAACTCCTTTAACACTCCTATAATT